AAATTGTTCTGATTCTATTTTTTTATGTGTTTATTTTTCATATGATGCATGTTTCCTTTTAATGCTTTTTATATGTTGTGTGTTTTGTTGTACAGCAGTTTGGAGCAACTCTTTTGCTTTTAAATGTGCTATAGAAATAAATTTTGACTTGACTTGACTACTAGCATGAATACTTTATTAATAGAAATATTAGATACAGCATACATATACAACATGCAATTAATGATCCAGGGTATTTGAATTAAATGCTGAACAAGCATTGATTGTGCTTTAAATCATATAATTGTGCTTTTAGGGTGTCTACATACTTTGATTGTGCTTTTAGGGTGTCTACATACTTATGGCCATATGGTGTGTGTGTATACGGTATGTGTGTATACTCTATGTACCACAGAGCTCTGATTCAATGGATGTCTTGTAGACTCTTTCTGGACGAACCCTCAGTTTCGGATGAGGATTGAGGAGCTTGATGAGGAATGTGCTAGTGGCCAGTGTCCTGAAAACATACTGGTGTCCCTCATGCAGATCCATGAGAACAGATACAGAAGTCTTGTTTCTAACTACTCCATTGGCTTCAATGTTTATCTGGTCAGTATTAACAATAACTCTACTACTCACAGAAAATCTCACTGAATGCAGTAATTCCAGTAATTTCCATTTATTAATGGTGTGTGTTCCATGTTTTTCTACTTTAACAGATACCACCAGAGGCAAGTACAATACAATACAAGCTCAATAGTATTAAAACCACTATAACCACATGTGTCTTGCTTTGTCAATAAATAAATTACTTGATATGTATAAAATAAACTGATAATATTTCATTCTTCTTTAGATGAAAGATGAGAGGTTCTCTGCCAAGTTATTTTACCGCAGACATTCTGTGGAAGATAGTGGGAACTTCATCAATACAAGACATGTGATGAAATTCTTCAAGCTTGAACCAGGAGAGTATCTCATTGTGCCCTCTACTTTCCATCCTAATGAGTGTGCAAAATTCATGCTGTCCATCTTCACAAAGACTGAATCGCATAGGAGAAAAAATAAACCTGCAATGACATATGTGTGAGGTTATTATAAATACTGTAAGTGTCTTGCTAAAAATAGCACTTTAACAGTTCATGGTCTGGTCACCCTCCTACTACTTTCACCAGATTACCAGTCTAGATTTTTGATCTCTGTAACCACTCAAATAGGATTTGGAGTAACCAAGCTGGTTATACTGTTTTTCTTTTTCTTCTACACCCCTTCTCTTCAATATTTTGTTCATCTGTGAGCTGTGAAATGAATGTTACCAATGTTGTTTATTTGTGAGGTTTTTGATGTTCTGTCTCACTGTAACTGTATAGGTCAGGTCAGTCAGTCACCAACCGTTTTAAATGACATTTCAGTGCTGAGCCATTCAGAAAGTCAGAATGAATGAATGAATGAATGAATGAATGAATGAAGCCTAATTCATATGCTACTCAACGGTCAAATTTAAGTATGTCTTCAAGTGATACAGCACAATTCTGAAATGTACACTACCAAACAATAATAAAGACACATATTATTAAAAACTTTAATTTATGTAATCGGTTATTATTATTTTTTCATTTTCATTTAATGATTTACAATTTTGTGACCACTCAAAGGAGAAGTGTGTGTAAACTATATTGTTCCAAATCTAGTTTTTTATTAAATATTATAAGTGTTTTCACTCCAATTAGCTTCTGGAGGGACAAGTAGCCTAGACTGTAACACCGTAGGTTTTCTTACACTAGAGGGCAGTAGTTTACTAAATAAATAATGGGCGTCGCAACACAGAAACGTGCAAGCACAGGAGTGTCGTTTACAGCTGATACTATGTAATCGGTTATTATTATTTTTTCATTTTCATTTAATGATTTACCACTCAAAGGAGAAGTGTGTGTAAACTATATTGTTCCAAATCTATTTTTTTATTAAATATTATAAGTGTTTTCACTCCAATTAGCTTCTGGAGGGATAAGTAGCCTAGACTGTAACACCGTAGGTTTTCTTACACTAGAGGGCAGTAGTTTACTAAATAAATAATGGGCGTCGCAACTTTTTTTCATACTATGGAAGTCCATGGCTACCGTCAACTGTTTGGTTACCAACATTTTTCAAAATATCTTAAAAGAGAAAAAAGAAACTCATGCAGGTTTGGAACAACTTGGGGTGAGTAAAAGATGACAGAATTTTCCTTTTTGGGTGAACTATGCCTTTAAATATGAACTATGCGATGATTCTGGTAACATTACAACATACACATATGGTTTAGTTCACCCAAAAATGAAAATTCTGTCATTAATTACTCACCCTCATGTCGTTCCAAACCCGTAAGACCTTCGTTCATCTTCAGAACACAAATTAAGATCTTTTTGATGAAATCTGAGAGCTGTCTGACCCTCCATAGACTGCAAGGATATTACCAAGATCAAGGCACAGAAACATAGCAAGGACATCGGTACAATAGTCCATGTGATAGTCAGTGGTTCAAACGTAATTTTACAAAGCAGCGAGAACACTTTTTGTGCACAAAGAAAACAATAATAACATAATTTATTCAACAATTCTTCTCCCTGAGTTACCGTCTTCTGCCATTTTGGAGAGTACCCTAGAACGTAATCAGCGTTGTTTAGACAGCGCACGCTTTATCCTGAACATAAACAACGCTGATTACGTTCTTAATTTGTGTTCCGAAGATAAATAAAGGACTTAGGCTACAGGTTTGGAACGAAATGAGGGTGAGTAATTAATGACAGAATTTTCATTTTTGGGTGAACTAACCCTTTAAAATAAATAGAATACACAAGTAAAAAATGATTAAAAACAATATTAATAAATACAAACAAACAAACAAATAAATACTGTTATGGGTGAGTATCCACCTCTTGTCAAGTAAAACTACATGAATCAATCTCCTCATGCTTTTCCCCAAGGCAACCAACAGGTGGCACTGTACAGACTACAGTAGTGCACATGCACCTCGAGAGTGTGAGGCCTACAAAAAGCACATGTTCAAATATTCAAGGACTTGCTTTCTGAATTAGCATAACACAACTGAAGATTGTTTTAGAAAATTAAATTGAGGTCAAATTCAGAGTGAAATTTTCTGGTTTCATGTACATGACTATGGCTCAATACTAGTTCTCGTTTTTAACAGTAAGAGCTCACATTTTTACGCAGAAGATGCCTCACTTCCCCTGCAACAGTTACTATGGGAAACCCACACTTCCTCTTTCTCTCTGGCCTAATCATGCCAGATGTCAAAGGCACTTTCTACAAATAGGGTACGAAGTAGGGCCTGAAACTCTTAAAATAGTCTATTTTTTTTAACAAACGAAGAGTGAAAAGAGGTGCTTAACCTAATAAGTAAATAAATTAAATAAATAATAAAATAATATAAAATCCTTAATATTATATTAAACCAGATATGTGTGCTTTTGTAATTTTTAGTAATAAATATTAAACAAACAAAAACCACAACACAGTGTCGGAATGAGTAACAGGTTGTCTTTATACAGTAACTTGGGTAACGGGTTGAATAACTGAGCTTGACGAATGACTTAAACGCAATAAAAAACAACAAGCAATAGTCAGAATAAATAATTTGTTGGAATTAAGTATTAAGTTGCCTTCCAACCATGTAGAAAGGCTTAAAATGTTAGACTTTCAGGGATGTACACAAAATGTAGGACACAGTTAGGGATGTAACGATTACCGGTTTGACGATAAATCTGGTAATATTATTGTTTTAATGATTATGCAAACAAAAAGTCATTTTATTTGTTATTTGTTGATTTTTAAATATAAAACTTGAAGTGATTTATGTGTCGGTACTTTTTGAACATCTCCAGCACATTTGAACAATACCGTGATAATACTGATAACAGTGATAATTTTGGTCACTATAATCGTGATAAGAAATTTTCATACCGTTACATCCCTAGACACAGTATATTAAAGTCAAATAAATGATAAACTAATAATTATTTAACTGAATAAATTCAAATATTTTTACTCAAATGAATTGAATTGCAATATTTAATTACATTTTTAAATAATGAATTAAAATTAAGTTTAATTAAATATTTGACTACAATTTATTGAATATCAGTTCATTGTATCAATATCAAAACTTTGATATTGTTATGTGATTTTAATGTTAAACACAGGTCAAGAACTCTGAGTTCTCTTGGGAAATCACATACATACGTTTGATGCATTAAAAACAAAAAGCTGATGTTAAACTTCTACAGAAACCATGGGATCTAATGCATGGGATAAAAAAAAAAAAAAAAAAATACACTCTATAGTTGCTGGAACTTCAGAGTATTTCTGATCTAAAACACACTTAGCTGAAGGCAGTGACCTTAATAGGGCAGTGAAACTGTGCCTCACAGTTCATTAGACATGAACCAAGGACTGCTGACTGCTGAGAAGCACATCAATAAAAGGATCCTTTTACATGCATGCGGAATATTCATTGGTCACTATTGAAAGACTGTGTATACAAACAGAGGCTGTTAAGATGGGAACTGATAGGTTGAAAACAAATTATTAATAATACAAACCAACAGGACGGCTGGCTTTGACACTGTGACTTCTAATGAGATTACTCAGCACAGCAGGAAAGGATCTGTGACATACGGTTTTACATCATGGGCCATCTGGGCCTCTGATTGGTGGACAGTGACATCATGTGGAGTGGTTCTCTGGTTCTGTTTTGCAGCAGACTGGCTGATATGGCAGGTGTAGAAATGTGCAGGCACACATACATTTACAGTGCAAAAAATAACAATTAATTTAGTTGGACTGAAAGATTGCATCTAAGAAACCCATTACACACCCATAAATCATATTAGGATTATTCTGGATTCTATACAACTGAAGCGCAATCAGCAATATTTGTGGCATAATGTTGACTACCGGAAAATATTCTTTCAAAAATAAAAAAAAGGGTGAGGCATCTACAATGGAAGTAAATGGGGCCAATGGTTAACCTTAAAATAATATTTCAAATATATAGCAATTCGATACAAACAATGAATGTCAACATGATTTTACAACATTCTACATCCTGAAATGACCATAAAAATGACTAGTTTACTTAATATTTAGGATTTATAAAAAAAGCAGTTTACTCTAAGATACATCCATACAAATAGAGTCTGCTGTACTGTGTTAATATGAAGGAATTTACCGTATTGGTTTGTTTTACCTGTATTTTGAATCACACATTGCATTGTGTTGTGTTTTAGGGTTTAACTTAATGGATAATGTCCTGGTTAAAAAATAAATAAATAAATAGATAATAAAAATAAATAAATAATGGTGTTGAAACCATTTTTGCTCAGAAATTGCTAATACATTTCACAATTACAAAGAAACCACATATTGGATTAAATGTGAAATTTTGAAGAAGGAAGGAAGGAAGGAATAAATAAAAAATTGTCACTTTAGTTTGGGGACCAATTTTCATGACTTTTGCCTCAATAAACTCCTAATTTGCGGTTTTGTTGTTTTTTAATGAATAAAAATAAAACAAGTAGATAGAATAGAAATAGAATAGAGAACGCTACTGTTAGAAGATCAAGTTTTTTCATAATAAATAGAAAAATAGTACAGAGAGTGCATGTGTTAGAGGGTTACTTTTTCAAATAAATAAATAAAAAGAAAACAAGTAGATAAAATAGAAATAGAATAGAGATTGCTAGTGTTAGAGTGTCAAGTGTTGATGGAAGAGATGTGTCTTTAGCCATTTCTTGAAGATGGCTGAAGAATCAGCTGCTCGGTTCGAGTTGGGCAGGTCATTCCACCAGCAGGGAACAGTTAAGGTAAATATCAGTGAAAATTAATGTGTGCCTCATTCTTTTTTCTTTAAAATATGGTCATGCAGAATAAGGCATTCATATTTGCTTTCATATTGTGCTAACAGCCATCAAGCAGCACTAATAAACTGACGAGTGAAGTATGCAGTAAGTACACCTCGAAAACAACATGAGAGCTTTGAACAACATCTTAATCCACCCAAACACTGACTTGACTTAAAACTGTCAACCACAGCCAATGTAGCCACACCCCAAAAGGGCCTTATCCATTATACAGTGTTGCCAGGTCTCACAGAAAAAAGAAAAAAAAGCAACCTAAAAAAGTTGCTTATTATAAGCATACATGGCAACATTGCAGTTGTACCCAAAACAATTATGTTGGTCTTAGGTTAGCGATAAAGGGCATTAAAGCCTCGTGCCGCCTGCAAGTCTGACAACACCAAAGCCATTGTTTACTGTAGAGAAAATGTTCTAATACATTGTTCTTCCTTCAAGACACAACCTTCAAAAAAGCAGGGGAGTCAGTTTCATAATAGCAGCCCTGCAAAGAAATAAATAAGTTAGATAACTTACAGCGCATACTAGACAAGCACAATGACTAGAATTAAGGCAGTGCTAAAAAAAAAGTTTCAGACTTCTGTGAGGTGAAATGCAGCCGACGTCACAAAGCGATGGTGTCGGTAGTGTGGCATTGCATATGCCTGTCAGTGGGTGGCCTGCAGACAGATCTAAAGCTGCTGTCACGCACACACTGCTGCTGGTGTGTGTGTGTGTGAACTAACATTAGGACGTGTGCTGTGGCCTGTCAAAGCCTGATGATGCTCTGTGTTCGTGAGAGCGTGGGGGCAAAGCAGTTATAATCAAATAATGAAACTTAACCCACAGTCTGAAGGAAGTGGTTGATAGATCCTGAAAACCGTAATTTCTAACTGTCAATTTTGAATTCAATTGTGCTATAAAACACTACTACACACTAGGGCTGTCAATGTGATAATTTTGTACAATTTACAAGTTTTTGTCTTTTCAACTTTACTCCCAGTCTTAAAAGTTTGGTGCTTATGGAAGGTGTAGGTAGAGTTGAAGAATGCTTCCTGTCTCAGTCTACATTTTAATCACAATGGTTTGCCGTGGACTGCAGGCGAGTGATGTTCGATGATATGGAAATCAAATAATAATAAAGGAATAATTTGCCCAAAAATGAAACTTTGCTGAAAATTTACTTACCCTCAGGCCATCCAAGAT